GGTGAAGCCTCGACCGGCTGTATCCGCTCCCGCGTCACGTAAAAGTGCGGCGAGGTGAGCTCCTTGACGAGGCCCTCGACGTAGCGGCTGAGCGACCGCTCCAGCGGCGCGGCGAGCGGCGGAGTCACGAAGAGCTCGAGCCGCACCGCAGGAGGGTGAGGCGCCTCCAAGGGCGGGCGGGGCGTCGCAACGACCTCGGAGGTCGCCGACTCGAGAGCGCCGCCGCCCGGCCGCTGTGGCGTGAGGAGGTGGTGGTGCTCGGCGGAGAGGTTGAAGATGCGCTCTCGCGAGGCGTACTCGCTCGCGTTGAGGCCGCGCAGCCGGAACGAGCAGCCCGAGCCACAATGGAGCGAGCCGAGCTCAAACGGGAGCGACCAGCCGATCTGTTCGTGCGAGTGCCACTTGCCGTCGCCCTTCTGGAACAGGATCTCGAACGCGGCCGGCCGGCATCGGGCGTCGTGCCAGAGCCGCACTGACGCCGAAGTCGTCGGTGTGGCCAGCAGCGGAGACACGCCTGCGCAGTACGTCATCCTCTTGCGCGCGGCCGCCGCCGCCCGCCGCCACCAGGCGCGCGGGTTTGCCGCTGGCCCGCGGGCAGCGCCGCTTGCTATGCGGCCTTCAGTCGCGGGACCCACCCGCGAGCCAGCGATTGGTTGCTAGCCAGCGATTGGTTGCCAGCCAGCCAGCGATTGGTTGCGACCTGGCTTGGCGCCCGCTACCCGTGTCTTCGTTTTATCGTACAATGGAAGAAACTTGTTTCTCTAAGGTACCCACTCCCCTAACATTAAATTTCGGACGTACGTAGACTTGCCCCGACGAGGCACAGGGCAACCCCGTCCAATCGGCTTCGCAAGTCGACCCGCCAACCAATCCATGCATATGACCTCCGTCACCGCCGCCGCCGCGCCAGCTGCCACCGGCGCCGAGCTGGTCGTGCCACCGCTGCCGCCCAGGCTGCCCAACGACGCGAGCCAGGAGGAGAAGGCGGCGCGCGAAGCCATCATGAAGGAGCGCCGACGCATCCAGAAGGCGATCAACGAGCAGAAGAGGGGCAAGCGGGATCGCAGCGAGCGGGAGCAGCTGAGTGGTGCGCAACATCGCAAGCAGGCTGAAGCGGAGGCGAAGCGAGCCGACGCCAACCGCCGCCGCCAGTCCGTCTCCCAGCACCGCCGCGCAGCTCGAGAGAAGAAGCGGCCGAGGCTCGGCGAGAGCTTCGGCTCGATTCGACAACGCGAGGAGCAGCGACTGCTGGGCAACTCGTTCGTCTTCGAGGACCAGCGCGTGCGCGTGTGCGAGGGCGTCGCGTGGGCCCTCGTGCAAGACGGTGCGGCTAGCGGCGTGGTGCCCATCCATGACGCCGCGAGTTTCTGGGGCCCAGAGTGGGCGTCGTGCTCGGCCGTGCCCGTGAAGGCTGGGCAGTGCGGCACTGTGCTGCGGCGCGCCGAGCTGTGCGTGCAGGAGAAGGGCGGCAGCGTGAGCAGCTTGAAGCTGAGCAGCGCTGGCTTCGCGCAAATTGAGGGGCCGCAGCACTTCCACACGGTGCAGCTCGACGACGTCAGCACGCCGGTGATGCTCTCACCCTACCACGTCCAGCCCTGGCCGGCCATCGGACAGGAGGTCGGCTGGATGCCGTCCGAGCCGCAGGACATCGCCACCGTCAAGTACTTTCACAACACGCAGGACCCGGACTTCGACGTGGACGATCCCGAGGACAACAGCTATTACGTGCTCTCGCGGCAGTTCTACGCCTTGCCCGCCCACGTAGAGGTTGTGGCGCCGGTGGGCGGGCGCGTGCGCGTGGGCTCTTGGGTGAGGCTGCGCGAGCCCCACCCCGAGGCTGACCCTGACGACGGCGCGTGGGGCTTCCGCGAGCCGCCGCCCGCCGTCGCCGCCGAGATGCTCTCTAGCGTGGGCCGGACCGAGCTGACCCCGGCGGACGTGGAGCGGCTCATGTCCACGCCGCAGATGGCTGTCGCGAGCGCGCATGTGCTCGTCGTCAAGTCCATCTGCGAGGACTGCGGGCAGTGTCTCGAGCTCGAGGACACCTTCTACGCATCTCACCGCGATCTCACGCCGCTCATCCCTGGCTGGGAGCAGAGAGAGCCATGTCGCTTCCACTGCACCTACGACCACCAGTACTTGTGCGATCACATGTTCGATCTAACACACGTAGGAGAGTGCGTCTGGGCCTGCAAGGAGTGCGACCCTGAGTAAAGCGGGGAACTTAAATTTCCTCCATTGTACCCATGCGGAGCCTTTTATTTATTCAAAAAAGTATGTGGACCTGCGGCGGTACCCGCCTCTGTTCGGGCAGTGAGAGACGCCCCAGGATCTGCACGCGAAGTGTGGGCTCCACTCCGCATTTGCATTTTGGTTTTGGGTGTCGGAGATCCTTCATCCATCGCAAGCATTGCTAAAAATCTCTCTCTCGCAAGCACTCATCAGTCAGTCACGTCAGTCAAACCCGCGCCGAGCCGGTCTCGGCGGGAGACCTCGGAGCCGCACGCGATGCGGGCATGCGCGATGGCTCCGTTGGCTCCGTGCCTAAGGCAGATAGACTAGGGTGTGAGCTGCGGCAGCCAGTCGGAGGCCGCGATGGATGGCCCAGGGCCGGCGGCGGTGAAGGCGTCCGTCGATGAAGGGATGTCGTCGAGGGAGCCATCGTCCTCCGCGGTTGGTGCACCAGTCCAGTTGTCGGAGTTCGAGATCGCAGTCGCCCGTTGAAGAACTCACGGAATGTGAGCGACTTGGTGCACGCTGGGTCGAGCATCATGACTCGCACCTCATCCTGGGCGAGTTCCTCGCCCAGGGACCAGCTGTTGGCGTCGCCGTTTTGATCGAGCTGCATCCACTGCATGGTTTCGTAGTCAAGCGTAAACGCCCAGGAGTTGGTGCCTGGGTGACTTGCTGATGAGAGCGCCTTCCAGGCGGGTAGTCGTGCCCCTCACCTACGGTCATACGGCGGTGTCAGAGGGGGGGAGGGGCGCGAAGCGTGAACATGGAGGCAAGCAGGTGGTGGGCACCTGGCCAAAGCCGGCGACCTCAAAGTTGTCGTTGCTTGTGCGGAGCGTGAAGGGGACCGGATCGGCAGCAGCGCGGGCGGCAGCGGCCGGAGAGGCCGGAGAGCCGTCCGACGGAGGCCGGTCGTGCATCGGCGCGTCGGCCGTAGGGGCCGTGGGGGGCGGCATCCATCGCTGCGGGTCGCTGCGGGGTGCGGGCCGACGATTGTGGACTGATCGATCGTCGGCGGGCGGTGTTAGGTGGGACGTTCTACGGTTAAAAGAGCGTCGGCGCGGACACGAGAGACTTATAAGGGTAGATGAACTCGCGGGCACGGGACGCGGCACAAACGGGGCAAAAACCAGGCTACAGAGGCCGCCTTCGTTTTGCCGGAAAATTCTTTATCGACCTGTGGCCAACCGTGCGCGTCGTCTCCGCTTTGAGCTTCCCGCCGGACATCGCTCGCGTCGCAAAACAAACGCGTCCAGCAAAGCCAACAACGCCCCCCAGCAAACCGAACACCTCCAAACGCCTCCAGCCAGCAACCACGGACAGCAACCACGGCCGGCAACTGCATAAAGCACAACACCAACCCAGACACCAATGCCGAGGCCCGTCACCGCAATCGTCATGCTGCTCCTCTCCTCAGCCTGCGCCCAGGATCTGGTCCGCAGCGTTCACTACGAGTACCGTCCCATCGCACGCGGCAGAGGAGGAGGAGGAGGTGTTGGCGGCGTCGTCCCGGGTGTCGGGCTCAGCGTCCTATCGGGCGTGCTCTTGTGGTGGAATGAAGGGCGGGCGGTGCGCGAGTCGCGAATGCTCCGCCGGCTGCTGCCTTCGCTTGTGCGGCTCGACGCCGACTCTCCACCCGACCCGACTCACGACGGAAGACTGGTCCACCTGAGTGGCCCCCTCCGCGCGAGCGGGCTCGTCGATCCCGAGTGGGGGCTGCAGCGGCAGGGCGTGCTTCGGCTCCGCCGCAGTGCAGAGGTGTACCAGTGGAGAGAGGAGCGGACCGAGACTTCGCAGCGCGTCTCTGAGAGGGAGGTGCGGCGAGAGGTCACCCACCGCTACCGCCGAACCTGGGGCCGCGTGCCCGTGGACTCGTCGCGATTCGAGGCGCCGCACGGCCACCACAACCCCGAGCCGGTGCTGCCCGTGGGCGACACGACCTTCACGGCGACGGACGCGGCCTTGCCCGGCGGCATCCATGTGCCCGCAGGCCTCGTCGCTCAGCTCTCCGACTACGCCGCAGTCCCGCTGGCCGGAGCCGGACTGACGCAGCCCAAGCACCTCCCCTCCGCTGCGATTACCGGCGTGGGAACCGTCTCCATCCCTTTTCAGCAGCGCGGTGCGGCGCTGTCCAGGCCGCTGCCCCCCGGCTCTCCGGTCCAGACCACGGACGACGTCCTCCGCCAGTCGGGAGAGGCTGGCGGCAGGACCGGCAGTCTGACCCTCCGCCCGGCCGGGGCGGCGGCCAGCGGCGAGACGCCGCCGCTGCCGGTGCTGCGGGGGCCGCCGCCCGCTCCCGAGGTTGGCGACGTGCGGCTGCGCTGGAGCGAGGTTGCCTCGCCTGCGGAAGGCGTGAGCATCCTCGCCAGGCAGGGGCGGCGCGGCGAGCTGCTGCCGTGGTCGGACGAGGCTGGCCGCGGCGTCTACCGGCTGGTGCGCGGCGTGGCGTCGGCCGAGGAGATGGTGCAGCAGCTGCGGCGCGAGGAGCGAGCCAAGAAGTGGCTGGCTCGCGCGGCGGGCTGTGGCGGCGCCGCGCCACGGAGGAGTTGCCGGCCCTACCCGCACCTCTCTGACTTAGCGCCTCGCGCCGCACAGGCATGGCTCTCGGACTGCGGCTCATCCTCGGCGCCGCCACCGACCTGATCTCGCGCCTGCCCTTCGGCATCGGCCCGCTGCTCGCAGCGCTCACCGGCCCGCTCGCCACGCTGCTCTCCATCGGCACCGGCGCCGGCCTCTCTGCCATCATCGTCGCGCTCGCTTGGGTGCGATTCCGACCGCTCGCCGCGGCAGCGCTCTCGGCGGCAGCCGCCGCCTTCATATACGTTCCCGCCGCACTCGCCCGCGCACACCGCGACGCGCCTCTGGCGCCGAGAGGTGCGCGCGCCCGATGAAGTGACCCTCATCAGACATCACGGATCTCGCTTTCTGTTTCCCGGATGCATGTTGAGTATGAGTTGGGACTGGACCGCTGGACCTGGAGCTCGCAGCCGGGCGCGCCGCGAAGGAGCGCGCGTGCCGCGTGTGTGTGGCGAGTGGAGAATGTTAGATTATGGAAAACACGCTGGACGATCACACCGCTCCCTCGCACTACAGGGAGATCATGATCGATGTGACCTTTTCTTGAGCGTGGCGCAAGGGGAGAGGCGCCCAAGCAGCATCTCACCTTGCCCTGGCCGCCAGCGCGCCGTTGGCACTGCCCTATGCTCTCGGGCTCGCTCTAGCGCCAGCACTCGGGGGGGTGGGGAGGGGGATAAGACGAGGGGTCGCCCCGGCCGCCGGCGCGGCCTAGTCCTCCACCTCCTTGGCCATCGCCTCGGCCTTCTCAACCGCCTCCTCCATCGGGCCAACCATGTAGAAGGCCTGCTCGGGCAAGTGGTCGTACTTGCCGGCGAGCAGGCCCGAGAAGCCCTCGACCGTCTGCGCGAGCGAGCAGAACTTGCCCGGCTTGCCGGTGAAGATCTCGGCGACGTGGAAGGGCTGCGAG